CCTAAACCCTAAAACCCTGAAATACTAAACCCTAAACCCTACACCCCAAACCCTAAACCCTAAAACCCTAAACCCTAAACCCCAAACCCCAAAACCCTAAAATCCTAAACCCTAAGCCCGTTTAGCGCAATTCCCCTGATTGCCCCTAAGCCCTGAAACTCTCCCAGCAGGCGAAGGCACTGATGGCTCAAGAACCACAACCAACTCCCATGGAGCCTTGAGGGCTTCGGGTTCGGGTTTCGCGTTCCTCAACCTAAACCCTAAACCCTAAACCCTAAACCCTATATAAACCCTAAACCCTTGTAACTCAAGATTGCCGTGCCCACTGAGGCGGCGCACGCGTAGACGCCGCTTCCCACCGTGGAGGGCACCCAGTAGGCCTGATCGGCGTGACAGAGGGGTCAACTCTCCCCCCGTATAGGAGTTTAGGGTCTAGGGTTTAGGGTTTAGGGTTTAGGGTTGTAGGGTTGTAGGGTTGTAGGGCTTTAGGGCTTTAGGGCTTTAGGGCTTTAGGGCTTTAGGGCTTTAGGGGTGATAATGATAATTAAAGAGCTGCTCGGCCCCTGTCAGCCCTTAACCTAACCAGAGAATCCGCAACCCATAAGCCGTTAGGGTTTAGGGGTTTAGGGTGCAGGGTTTAGGGTTTGGATAGTCACCCTTACGCTAGCTGTCCTGAGTATGCGTCAATGCAAGGACTTGAAACCTTGTGAGAAGGCTTCGTAAATAGGATCTTCTGCTTAACCCTAATGCGCGAACACGTACTTATGAATATCTCAGGGTTCGAAGTAGAAACAACCTTCCTGGGCGGGCTCAGGATTCATTGCGTTATGGGTATTTCCCCAATCAATAGGGACCCCTCGTGTGATGAACCCCAGAATAGGTACCCTCATGTATGGCAGCCCCCTGATCCCCCAGAAGTAATATACGGGTCGAATAATTACTTGTAGCAGCATTCCCTTGTGGTCACCTAGGACTGAGAAGGATACCCTTTTTGGGTTTAAGGGGACTATAAGGGAACCCCAACCGGGGCCTACTTCGGGTCCTAGCCTATAAAAATACTGCAACGACCCCCCTATGACCTGGCAAATTTCTCGGTGCCTTCGGAACCCTTGGGCTCATCTTGCTGCACACGACAGCTGCAATGGAAGACTCTTCTCTTGCCCAGCTTCATGTGCCCCAGCTCTTGCTTTAGGGGCTTAGGGCTAGGTTGTCCGCTAAGCCCTAGGCCCTAAAACCCCTAAACCCTCTTAGGGCACGTGGTTCCTTAGGATGAGCCCTTAAAGGGGGGCTCCTTATATACCTTATATACCCCATACTTCGGATCTCTTTAAGGGAGGTAAGGGATCATATTAAGGGACCATCTAACTACCCCTAGATAACAACAAAGCCTGTAAGCCCTATGCACGCACAAATCCCTCAAAAACCTCCAAAACAAATTCACCCATGAACTCCATAAACCCTCGAAACCCCATGGCCCCCTAAGCCCTAAAGCCCTCTAAGCCCGGTAAACCCCCAACCCTAAACCCAAAACCCTAAACCCCAAACCCTAAACCCCAAACCCCAAACCCTAAACCCTAAACCCTAAACCCTAAACCCTAAACCCTAAACCCTAAACCCTAAACCCTAAACCCAAACCCTAAACCCCTAAACCCTAAACCCTACAGACCCCTACAAACCCTACTAACACTCTAGCAGCTCAGCGCAAGGCTTCCGCCAACTCCAAGAGGTGCTGGATCTCGCTATCATCCAGAAACTGGGGAATGACCTTGGGTTCAGGGTTTAGGGTTTAGGGATAAGGGAATGAGGTACCATTTCTGATCCCTTAAAGGGTATAGGGTATGTAGGGTTTAGGGTTTAGGGTTTAGGGTTCAGGTTTAGGGTTTAGGGTTTCGGGTTTTGAGTTAAGGGTTTAGGGGGTTGGGGGTTTAGGCGTTTCGGGGTTTCAGGGTTTAGGGGTTTTGGGGCCTTGGGGCTTTGGGGCCTTGGGGCTTTGGGCCTTACGAGTTCGGGATTTGGGGCTTACGGTTCAGGTCGGGTTTGGGAGGGTTAGGGGCTCCAGCTTTGGGATTTCGGGATGAGGGCGAAGGGTTCAGGGCTAAGAGTTTGGGATGTATGTAGTTTAGGGTTTAGGGTTTAGGGTCTAATTTAGGGTTTAGGGTTAAGGGTTTAGGGTTTAGGGTTTGGGGTTTAGGGTTTAGGGTTTAGGGTTTAGGGTTTAGGGTTTAGGGTTTACAGTTTAGGGTTTAGGGTTTAGGGTTTAGGGGTTAGGGTTTAGGGGTTTGGGGTTTAGGGTATAGGGTTTAGGGTTTAGGGTTTAGGGTTTAGGGTTTAGGGTTTAGGGTTTAGGGTTTAGGGTTTAGGGTTTAGGGTTTAGGGTTTAGGGTTTAGGTTGATTTAATGCTTGTTTTTTGGGGTGGGGATCTACATCTGCGGAAGCTGCGGCCACCTAACCCCAAACTCTGAACCCTAAACCCTAAACCCTAAGCCCTAAACCCTAAACCCTAAACCCTGGTAGAAATAGACCCACCTGGTCAAGCAGATCCCATGCACAGAGCTGCGCGGTTTAGAGTTTCGGGCTTAGGGTTCAGGGTTCAAGGCTTAGGGTTTAGGGTTTAGGGTTTAGGGTTTAGGGTTTAGGGTTTAGGGTTTTGGGTTTTGGGTTTAGGGTTTGGAGTTTCGGGTTTAGGGTTTAGGGTTTAGGGTGCAAGGTTTAGGGCTAGATGAATTCGGGTGATTGTCGGTACAGGCCTCGTTCGGGAGTGTTTAGGGCTTTTTTGCAGCTTAACCAAGGCTACTTTTGGGGGCTTAGGAAAATAAGGGACACCCCTAATATAGACCCAGAAATAGCAGTATTCCCTTACACAAAGGAACCCCGTGAGGCCCTAAACCCGAATTAAACCCTAAACCCAAAAAACCCTAAACCCGAAACCCTAAACCCTAAACCCTAGTTTCGGAAACCCCCATTAAGAAGTTTGCAGAGCTAACAGCATCATCAAGGGAAGCTGGGTGCAGGACAGTAATCTTGGGATCCGGATACACAGCATAGGCCGTGAGCACCTGGCGTTCTGAGATGTCCAAGGGTTCAGGGTTTAGGGTTCAGGGTTTAGGGTTTAGGGTAAGGGTTTAGGGTTTAGGGTTTAGGGTTTAGGGTTTAGGGTTTAGGGTTTAGGGTTTAGGGTTTAGGGTTTAGGGTTTAGGGTTTAGGGTTTAGGGTTTAGGGTTTAGGTTCTAGGGTTTAGGGTTTAGGGTTTAGGGTTTAGGGTTTAGGGTTTAGGGTTTAGGGTTTAGGGTTTAGGGTTTAGGGTTTAGGGTTTAGGGTTTAGGGTTTAGGGTTTAGGGTTTAGGGTTTAGGGTTTAGGGTTTAGGGTTTATGTTTTAGGGTTTAGGTTTTAGGGTTTAGGGTTTAGGGTTTAGGGTTTAGGGTTTAGGGTTTAGGGTTTAGGGTTTAGGGTTTAGGGTTTAGGGTTTAGGGTTTAGGGTTTAGGGTTTAGGGTTTAGGGCACCACAGTGGGGGTTGGGCTCGGCGAACCCGGAATCCCACAAGCACTGCTTTTACATTCCCACAAGCACTGCTTTTGCATTGGCGGCCACAGCTGCACATTGCCACGCCCCAAATTTTCAAACCGCAAAACCCTGAACCCTACTAAGCCCTAACCCCAAAGATCCTGCAAAGACGTAATCCCCAAAGATCCAAACCCTACTAAGCCCCAAACCCCAAAGATCCCAAAGCCCTACGAAGCCCTAAACCCCAAAGATCCTAAAACCCTCAACTGCAAAACCCTGGACCCGATTCAGCCCCCAACCGCAAAGATCCTAATCCCTAAACCCTAAACCCTAAACCCTAGACCCCAGACCCTAAACCCAAAACCCTAAGCCCTGGACCCAAACCCTAACCCCAAAGATCCTAAAACCCGAAAACCAAGCCCGACTCAGGCGCAGAAAGGTGCAGACAGCATGCCTTTAAAGGCAAAGTGCCGATCCAACCCACTGGCTTCCAATTCCATTCACATGTAAACATGTACGCATACGTATAAATACAAATATTGAGAAAATATGAACAAATAAATTACAAGTAACTAAAACGTGAACAAAAAAGTGTATATATATATACATACAGACATATATATATAGATGTTTATGTCCTATAATAATATACTTCTGCTAAAACAAAGCCTATGGGATGTTACTGATACAATACGAAAATATCATGCTATACAAAGGTGTAGAGATATCAAAATATAATTTCATGATCATATGATCATAACATGTTAGTATTACAATTGTCTACTAAGAAATATTGACTACAAAAGAACTGAAGTTTTATAGTATGACATCAGAAAGCGTTAACATGTAATACCATACTACTATATCAATATGATATAATCATACTGTGATATTTGAAACTAACAATGTCATAAGATTACAATTCTCGTATCATAGTAAAATGTTCTCATATTATCATATCATCATATTGTCGCATAATCATATTGTAAGATTTTGATATGCCAATGTTGTAGTACAACAATATTTGGTTATGGTCTTAATGAAAAAACTATTACAATATTAAAATGTTATAGCTGTGTATTTCACACCATTACATTTTTGTAGTATGATATTCCTTTAGTATTGTACTGTTCTACCACTATAGATAGTATGATAATAGTTACTTTGCCGACAAAGTGTACACGTTGGATCCTCTGGGCAGATGCGCGTGTGGCTACAACTTGCCACACTTTGGCAGATCGCGTTCACACCCTAAACCCCAAACCCTAAACCCTGAACCCTAAACCCTAAACCCTAATATATGGTTTAGGGTTTAGGGTTTAGGGTTTAGGGTTTAGGGTTTAGGGTTTAGGGTTTAGGGTTTAGGGTTTAGGGTTTAGGGTTTAGGGTTTAGGGTTTAGGGTTTAGGGCCCGAATTCCCGCATTCCCCGCCAAGAACGAGGGGGCAGGCTTGGTGTTTAACCTGGCCTCTACCCAAAACCTTAAACCCCTTCTGATCAGGCGGCTCGGCCGATTCCGATCTTAGGGGCCCAACATATCAGAACAAAGGCGTCAAGTAGCAAAGAAAGGGACACAACTACGACAATGCCATAAATCCCTATAAGAAAGGAGGACGAAGTCTCAACCGCGCGAACAAATGCAAACATCAGGCCAGCCAAGCAGGAGCAGGCTATGTTCAACATAACCTCCTTCCACCGCCGGTCTCGCCGCCGCTGCACCCGGCGGGCGATACGCAGCCACAGCAGCGCAAGAACCGGGATGTTCCCCAACCACCACCCAATCAAGTAGTAGAAGTTGGTGAAGGCGAGCCATGAGTTGTGCCAATATCGGAAGATTGAATGAACTGCCCACCAAAGCATAGGGGCAGTAGCCCCGATCAGCCATGTATATGGCAAAATGCACTGCGAGACTTTGCGATCAAACGCCTCGGAGACTTTGCGCTGCATCATCTCATCCTAGGTTGTCTCCCTAAAAAGGGTTTCGGGTTTAGGGTTTGGGGTTTAGGGATGGCCCTTAAACCGCCACTGAAAAATATTCCTAAGTAAGATCCTCTTAAACCCAATAAGGGAAAGACAAACTGTCCCAAGGGACAGCCGACAAAACAAGCACAGCAAGGGAACTTATACATTGTCAAAGAATTTTGGGGCGAAGGGTTTAGGGTTAACCCGGTTAATCACTTCCCCCTTTTACTAAAGACCACCCTAATAATAAAAACGCTTTCCGGAAAATCCTGCCGAAACCGACCCCGACTTTTAACCCTATTCCGTAGGGCGGGGGGGGGGGGTTTCAGGCCTCCAATAAACCCCTCAACACCAGTAAAACCCTCAGAGGGTTTAGGGTTTGGTGTCTAGGGTTAAGGGTGTAGGGCTTAGGGTTAAGGGTTTAGGGTTTAGAGTCCCAATTATTTATGACACTTCAATAAAACAACTCCCCGCTGACAATAAAAACACAGTTCGAGTCTTTATTGGGGGGGGGGGGGGGGGGGCGTTTAATATTAGGGGGAAACGATGAACCCGCGAGCCACTTAGGACAAAATCCAAAAAAATCTCAAGGTGCGACCCAGCATCGAAAGCAGCGACGGAACCGAACCAATGCTCCAAACACAGTTCCATGGCCTTGCGTGGCCCTCAACTCTAGGGTTTAGGGTTTGGGGTTTAGGGTTTAGGGTTTAGGGTTTAGGGTTTAGGGTTTAGGGTTTTGGGTTTTGGGTTTAGGCTCTAGGGTTTAGGGTTTAGGGTTTAGGGTTTAGGGTTTAGGGTTTAGGGTTTAGGGTTCTAAAAAAGAAAGAAGTACCTAATTCCCTCATCCCCTACTAAATAAACACAAGCGCACAACTTCCTTTTCTTTGTGGATGAGGAAGATTTGACATTTCCTGGGCTAAATCTAGGAGTACATAGTCTACGCTCTGGGGGCTTAAGCCCTAAGCCCTAAGCCGCAAAACGTAAACCCTAAACCCTAAACCCTCTAGACCCAGAGCCCGGAAAACCGATTCTCTTTTGGGGATGAGGTTCCCTCCTTATAGACGTATAGGGTTTAGGGTTGAGGTAGTAGCAGCAAAGCTGGCTTCGGGAAAAGGTACGCGATGCCAAACGTTTTTGAGGCCCCCGTGCATTTGTTCCCAAACCCTAAACCCTAAACCCTAAACCCTGAAACCCTGAAAACCTGAAAACCTGAAACCTTGAAACCTTGAAACCCTGAAAACCTGAAACCCTGAAACCCTGAAACCCTGAAACCCTGAAACCCTGAAACCCTGAAGCCCTGAAACCCTGAAACCCTAATCCCTAATCTCTTATCTCTTATCTCTTGTTTCATATCTCTAAACCCTAAACCCTAAGCCATAAACCCTGAAACCCTAATCTCTTATACCTCTTATCTCTTGTTTACGGTTGTAGGTCGGCGGTCCTTGCGGTCGCACATCATCTGCTCCCCAGTCTTCCGATTCACGTGGTTCGCGCTGCAGCCTTGCGTTTCAGGGTTTAGGGCTAGGGTTGAGGGCTGAGGGTGGACTGTTTAGGGTTTAGGGTTTAGGGTTAGGGTTTAGGGTTTAGGGCTTAGGGCTTAGGGCTCAGGGCGTTGTAGGGTTTAGGGTTTAGGGTTGAGGGTTTAGGGGTTAGGGTTTCGGGTCGCGTTCAGGGTCAAGTCGAATTGAACATACACGGATTCGGGGGATACCTTTGTCTTGAAAATTTTTGGGATTCAAGGATCAGATACCCTGGTCTTGACGAGAGAGCCACAGAACCTGACCATGGACGACCAAGCGTCAATGACAGAAAGTGTCACCGTTGAAGGAGAATGTCGATAGCTGCTTTTGGACAGCAGAAACTGCGCGGAAGTGGGCACGAGCTGCAGCGCTGGTGAAATACATGAACAGACCTGAAACGGTTTTCAGCTCATAAGCGTACAGCAGCTGCTTGAAGGTCGTCTATGGGTGCTTATAAGTAGGCTTAGAAGTACCCTAACTAAGGCTATAACCATAGTTGGCCAACGCGCTTCAGATTGCCTGGTACTTTCCTTGTTTTTGGGCGTTTTCCTTCGGTTTTTTCTCCCGGGGGGTGGAGGGGGGGTGGTCGCGTCATTTGTGCACGCCTTGAAGCCCCAAACCCTTAAAGGCCTCGAAACCCCAAGCCCTTAAAGGCCTCGAAACCCCAAGCCCTTAAAGGGGGTGGGGGGGGATAAGAACGTCATTCATATATTGCGTCCATGCCCAAAGCACTGGTATTTACAGCGTTTTCGCCTCTTTGTGCAACATACTGCACAAGGATGTGGACAAGAAAATCTGCCACAAGCGTCCATGCCTTTCGCGACCATGCCCAAAACACTGGTATTTACAGCGCCTTATGCCGCAAAACACTGGCATTTACAGCGTTATCGCCTCTTCGCACAACATCCTGGACAAGGATGTCGAACAAGAAAATCTGCCACAAGCGTTTACCTTGCACTAAGAAACCCCAAACATGCTGTCCCAAAAAAATAGCTTCAGCAAAAACTCCCAAACATGCTGTCCCAAAAGGAATAGTTCTTTGAACCCCCTAAAATCAGCTTTTCTGCTCCGTACCACCTCTGCCAGTACGAACGATGTGTCACGCAGAGCCCGCACCCAGGCAAACTAAGGCGCGTTCACCCCAAAGTTACCCCTACTTGTAACCCTACTTATAGGTACCCAGAAACCTCCAAGTAGACCGATGGAATATGCTTCGCAGTCATCCAAGATGCCCACAGAAAACGCATACATCAGCCCGCCAGCGAGGGCAAAAAGCCAGTCTTGATCCCGCCACACCGAACTCCTTTGTTGGGATCTTCGGGTCTCAGGGGCTGGGCGTGAAGGGTGTTGGGGTTTAGGGTTTAGGGTTTAGGGTTTAGGGTTTAGGGTTTAGGGTTTAGGGTTTAGGGTTTAGGGTTTAGGGTTTAGGGTTTAGGGTTTAGGGTTTAGGGTTTAGGGTTTAGGGTTTAGGGTTTAGGGTTTAGGGTTTAGGGTTTAGGGTTTAGGGTTTAGGGTTTAGGGTTTAGGGTTTAGGGTTTAGGGTTTAGGGTTTAGGGTTTAGGGTTTGGGGTTTGGGGTTTGGGGTTTAGGATGCAGGGTTTGGGGATTAGGGTGTGGGAGGTTAGGATCTAGGGTGCAGGGGTTAGGGCGCGGGGTTTAGGCGGCAAGGTTCAGGAATGAATGCTTTAGGACTGGAGGCTAAGGCTAAGGTGCGTGGTTTTTAGGATCTCTCCTTTGTGGTTGCTAAAAAGTTGGAAGAAGAAAGCCCTAAGCTCTGCAACCCGTGCCACAACCCCATAAACCCTAAATCGCCATTGCACTCAGCTTCGGCAAGTTGTCCATCAGAAGGTTCGGGGTGACCAGAAACGTTGCAAAGGACAGGAACACCTTGGTTAGAGAAAAAAAGTTTAGGGTTTAGGGTTTCGGGTTTAGGGTTTCGGGTTTAGGGTTTAGGGTTTAGGGTTCACTCAAACTTCACACAAAAACCCTGTAGGGCGCGCAAGGTTTAGGAGCTGTGCTTGGCCGGTTGAGAATTCGTCTTCTGGAGGACCCAGGAGTAACCTAGGAATAAAAAGGGTTCCCTTTTTGGTTTAAAGGGAATTAGAAGGGACCCTAAACCCTAAACCCTAAACCCTAAACCCGAAACCCTAAACCCCCAAAAAAAGGAATAAGGGCCTACTCCGGGTCCTAGTCTTTAAAGAACCAGAGCCGCCAAGACGCAGCAACTGCACAGGGGCCCCAGCCGACCTTGTTTAGGGTTTAGGGTTTAGGGTTTAGGGTTTAGGGTTTAGGGTTTAGGGTTTAGGGGTAATTTAGGGTTTAGAGTTTAGGGTTTAGGGTTTAGGGTTTAGGGTTTAGGGTTTAGGGTTTAGGGTTTAGGGTTTAGGGTTTTCGTTGGAACCCTAACTTACAAAAGTAAACAACTAAAGTTTCGGGTTTAGGGTTTAGGGTTTAGGGATTTCGTTGGAACCCTAACTTACAAAAGTAAACAACTAAAGTTTCGGGTTTGGGGTTTAGGGTTTAGGAATTAGGGTTTAGGGTTTGGAACCCTAACTTACAAAAGTAAACAACTAAATCAAGAGAGTCGTGCTCTAAACCCTCAACCCCGCTCCCTTTATAGTCACTAAGGCAAACATCATTTTCGATAGCGGTCTAGGTTGGGCCCTTCCTCCCTACAGTTTAGGATTCAGGGTTTAGAGTTTAGGGCTTGGGGCTCGGGGTTTGGGGTTCGGGGTTTGGGGTTTTGGCTTTGGGCTTTGGGCTTTGGGCTTTGGGCTTTGGGCTCTGGGCTTTGGGCTTTGGGCTTTGGGCTTTGGGCTTTTGGCTGTGCTGGCGTGTGGGGTGTCTTTGACGTTACGGGGAAAATGCTCGGGAAAAGCCACTTTTCTCGAAAAGCCACTTTTCTCGAAAAGCCACTTTTTGCGAAAAGTGACTTTTCTCTCGGCGTTGCGCGCGCCGCGTCCCCGAAAAACAACTTTTATCGAAAAGCCACTTTTCTCGAAAAGCCACTTTTTGCGAAAAGTGACTTTTCTCGCGGCATTGCGCGCGCCGCGTCCCCGAAAAACAACTTTTCTCGAAAAACCACTTTTCTCGAAAAGCCACTTTTTGCGAAAAGTGACTTTTCTCGCGGCGTTACGCGCGCCGCGTCCCCGAACAACAACTTTTCTCGAAAAGCCACTTTTCTCGAAAAGCCACTTTTCTCGAAAAGCCACTTTTTGCGAAAAGTGACTTTTTTCGCGGCGTTGTGCGCGCCGCGTCCCCGAAAAGCCACTTTTGTCGAAAAGCCACTTTTTGCGAAAAGTGATTTTTCTCTCGGCGTTGCGCGCGCCGCGTCCCTGAAAAGCCACTTTTCTCGAAAAGCCACTTTTCGCGAAAAGTGACTTTTTTCGCGGCGTTGTGCGCGCCGCGTCCCCGAAAAGCCACTTTTCTCGAAAAGCCACTTTTTGCGAAAAGCCACTTTTCGCGAAAAGTGATTTTTCTCTTGGCGTTGGAGCGCGCGGCGTCCGCGAAAAGCCACTTTTTGCGAAAAGTGACTTGTCTCGCGACGTTGGAGCGCGCGGTGTCCGCGAAAAGCCACTTTTCCCGAAAAGCCACTTCTTGAAAAGCCACTATTTGCGAAAAGTGAGGTTTAGGGTTAAGGGTTAAGGGTTAAGGGTTTGGGGTTTCAGTAGGGTTTAGGGTTTAGGGTCAGTAGGGTTTAGGGCTAGTAGGGTTTAGGGTTAGTAGGGTTTAGGGTTTAGTGTTGAGGGTTGGAGCGCGCGGTGTCCGCGAGAAGCCACTTTTCCTGAAAAGCCACTTCTCTTGAAAAGGCACCTTTTGCGAAAAGTGAGTTTACTCATTGAAAGCCGGAAAAGGTAGTGTGTCCGTTGCGTGTGTGCACCCACTTCTCTCGCCGTCGTTCACAGCTGCGCGATAGCCATACGCAGCACTTCCTTGTGGGGCTCTGTTCACAGGACTACTAAGTTAAGTAGCAATGTCAGGCTTAGAGATTCTAATTAATTGGGTTCGAGGTTTGGGGGGCTCTGAGGTTAATAAGTTAGTGAATCCCTACTCGTCCAAGAATTTCGAGAGCCTAATGCTCTTAATCTTCGACAGCGACTCTGTCAGGCTGTGAACCCCGCTACTAGAATTCCACAATCCCTCCCAGCTACTATGATTATCAAGGCAGGTATAAATGCCGCTGTGGGTGCCTTGCCGTGCCATAGCTCAGAGAAGCGGAAAAGGGAGGTGTAGAGGTTCTCTTGGTTGCTTCAATGGTGGGCGCCGTGTCACTTAGTGCCGACGCATTGCGTGTTGGCGGGAAGCTATTTTTCCTGAAAAGCTACTTCTACCGAAAAGCCACGCGTTCGCGAAAAGCCACTCTTCGACAAACGCTACTTGCATCGAAAAGCTGTGTTGGTTTTTGTTTTTAAATATGCCTTTTCTCACGGCGTTGGGGCACGCAGCATTCGTAACAACACGTCTCTGGACAAGCTACTTTCAGAAAAAACGTTGCCTGTGGCGTATTCCGGAATGCCACTTTTCTGGAACAACACTTTTTTGAGCAAAGTGACTTTTCTCGCGGCGTGGCGGCGCACAGCGTCTTAGAAAGCCACGTTTCTCGAAAAGCCACTTTTCTTGAAAAGCCACTTCTCTCGAAAAGTAACTTTTCTCGCGGCGTTGGAGCGCACGCTGTCCGCGAAAAGCCACTTTTCTCGAAAAGCCACTTTTCTCGAAAGCAACTTTTCTTGAACACCCACTTTTCTCGAAAAGCCACTTTTCTCGAAAAGCCACTTTTCTCGAAAAGCCACTTTTTGCGAAAAGTAACTTTTCTCGCGACGTTGGCGCGCGCAGAAAAGCCCCTTTTCTCGAAAAGCCACTTTTCTCGAAAAGCCACTTTTTGCGAAAAGTCACTTTTCTCGCGGCGTTGGAGCGCACGGTAACCGCGAAAAGCCACTTTTCTCGAAAAGCCACTTTTATCGAAAAGCCACTTTTTGCGAAAAGCAACTTTTCTGGTCGGTTTTCCCGCTAACCTGGAAGACGCACCGTGTGACAGCTTAGTTGGGCTTTGGGCTTTGGGCTTTGGGCTTTGGGGTCGCAGTCCTCATAGGAATCTCTTTCAGGGGCTCTTCGAACTCCCACTACTTTTTTGTGGTATCTGCCACTATAAGGGGCAAGGACCCAAAGTCTAGATAAAAGCTCACTTGGGGGTTTCCGAAATTGGCGGGGTCCTTATTGGGGTCCTGATTACAAGAGTCCGACTATTTTGGGGTCTATTTTGGGGGTCCCCTGTTTTCGTAAACCCCCAGATAAAAAATTGCTCCCTTGCTGTGAAGTGACAGGCCTGAAAATCAGCTGACCATCAGGGTGGCACTTCAAAAACGCCGCCAGCTCCACGCAACACCACATCCTAAGCAGTTTCGGGTTGAGGGTTTAAGGTTTAGGGTCTAGGGTTGAGGGTTGAGGGTTTAGGGTTTAGCCTGCAAAAAAAAGGATTTTGGAATTGGTTTGGGGTTCTAAGGTTTAAGGTTCAGGGCTTAGCGTTTGGTTGTGCGGATACTAGGTGAGAACTGGAACGCAGAAAGAAAAAGACGGAACATGCACATAGGCCCAGCTTCCGCCTCAAGTATGTCGAGTCCCAACATACCAGAATGGAGCGTGAGTGTTTCAGCAGTGCTGCCAAGTTGAGCATGCCCTCTACCTTCAGCCTGGGGTCGGTTTGGTGGATGCAGATCCTGTCAAGGAAAACTCGCCTGGCAGACTGCCAGCATAGCAACGTTAGTGTGGAGACCACAACTCCTGCCAGCATACACCACAATCCGCGTTCCCGGTCTAGCGGCAGGGGCCCCACGTAAGGGGAAATTAGGATACCTCGCATCGGAAAGCTGGACCAAACAGCAAACAGCTTAATGTCCCTACAACTGAAGCAAACCAGCTGAACCGCTAGCAGTGGCAGAAGGCAGTCCGACAAGATCTAAAAGGAGTGCTAAGGTTCCCAACAGGCGCGCGTGGCTACCGAAGCCACTGTACCAAGCAACACGGCAGGCAAGCCGTTGCACACCACGAGAAGCATCAAGATCTTCGACCAGACAGGACCATGCCAAGAGTGTGACCAGAACTGGAATATGGAGGATGCCATTCGACCTCGGACATAGTTGCTAAGTTCATAAGCCCCAAACAAGTACCAGTAATAAACAAGAAAGTCACACAGGAGAATATAGTAAGTGTAAAGTGTACTCATTCAGCTACTAAGTGGTTTTTTCAATTCGGCCAAGCTCAAGCAAGCGGTTGAATGCTTTGGGCCAGCAAAAGAATGCACAGAAACCACATACCAGCCGCGCAGCTGTGTCCATAGAGGTTCCTTCCAGTTGATCCTTCACGCAACACCTTTCCAAACCGCCAGAGCACATTTCGAGCCTTCGTAACTCTCAAGACCTCCGGTCTCGTGAGCTGAAGTCTGGCAAGGAAGTCCGCGAGCATCGTAACCTCGCGATCTTATCTTGAAAAATCAAAACAAGATTCCGCCGACCGAACAGACTTGGGATGTTCCCCCTTATACTAACAGTCCTTAATAGGGATTACAGTACCCCCCTATAATCATCCCTACACAGAACTGTTGGTATAAGGGGGAACATCCCCAAGAGCAAACCATCGACTTTATAAGAACCCTCAGCCTGCATCTCGAGCTGCTCATGGTCGAGATGCTCATTCTGCCCTTCAGCCCAGCCATCCTTTGAATTACCGGCTGCAGGAGGGTTGCTTCGCACCGACCAGTCCTCGGACCAGCTTGATCAGACGTCAAGCTATAGCTTCAACAAGACGCAATACGCGAAAAAAAACCCTTACGCAAAGGGGGGCGGGGGGGGGGTGGGTGGTGGAGGGGGAAGGGGGAAGGGGGAATGGGGAAAGGGGGGTGGGGAAAGGGGGTGTCGGGAGCCATCTGCGACAGAAAGAAATCCGACTTCAAACTGCCAGTTTCCCCTGCCAGCTGCTCAATCCATGCCAAGATTAACCTCTAAGCAAAAGCACTCCAACAACTACTTCTTCTGCACATGTCAAGACGTGCTCAAAACGAGGTACCATAGCACAACCGTTTACTTCTACAGTTCTGAAACATCAGCTCAACACTGGAGAAGTATATGCTTTTTGTCTTTCATTTTATTCATTCACGTGTAACCCAATACAAACAAGATAATTCGCTTCGCTCTCTGGTTTGAAACTATTATTACAGTACTCTTGTACCGTATTTGTTAACGACCCAACAAATACGGGAAATTGTAATTCATGGTCTTTGGGGAATCAAAGCGTTCACAAAATCTATGGGATGTCTTTATTGTATTCACGTAACAGCGTTTTGGGCATGTTTGCAAAAGACATGGACGTGTGGGACGGCGCGACTTGCGCCAGATACGTCAAGCAATCTTGGGTCGCATGATGTATGCTGTGAACTGCTCGCGAAATGCGTGGACGCTTGGGACAGCGTGTCGATTCCTAAAACGTTAAACATCCTCGTGCCGCATGTTGTATAAAGATGCGCAAACGCTGTACTATACTCCCCTTAGAATTCAACCTGAACAAAAACAATATGTTCAATATCCTCTTGGGTTTTATATAAACAAAAAAAGTGACTCCCAAAAAAGATATAGCGTAAGTACTGGTATTTCAGGCTTGCTCGCAAGGTTCATGAGCGCTTGTGACGGCGCGTCTGAGTCAAGAAGCAAAAACTGCATAACTTGCTTTCACAGCCACTACCAGCAGCTTCCCGGTAACAAAAAGCACAGGGAAGCTTGGTTTACAAGAACGTATCACAAGGTACTTCTTCTCCGGTGGTATCTGCGCAAGAATGCAGCTTAAGCGGGACAGCTTAACAAGGAAAGAAGTACCTTGAAGGGACTATATAGGGTACCTCATTCCCTCATTCCCTGTTAACCAACAGTAAGAAAAGGGTCGGAAGAGTGCCAACACGATTCGCCTGTAAACAGGGCCCCTAACCCCTAAACCCTAAACCCTAAACCCAAAACCCTCCGATGAGGCCAGGATTACTTACACCTGTGCCCCCGCCATAAGCAGATCCAAGACTCCTCCAGATCGCTGGGCACAGGTTCGTCCAAGCAAACGTCGATGGACGCTGAGACCATCTTAGTATAGGCGCGTTCGAGAAGCAGGCGCGAAGAAGGACTTTAAAACTTCTGTCTCTTGTTGGCTTCGTGCCAACTTCTAGCCTCGTCTGTCTTGAACCGTCTTAGGAGTAAGGCCTGCGGTCTACCGTGACACGAATCCCAAAGTCCTTTGGCCGAGTGTCGACCACAATGCCCTTTAACCCCCTGAAATATTTTCTCAAACGGGTGCTTACGAAAATAAGGGACCCCAAGTATAGTCCCCAATAGTAGGTTTCCCTTATATTAAGGACCCCCCCCCTTTCGACCTAGACACGGTTCCGGAATTCACTCTTGAAGCTGAGGGTTTAGGGTTTAGGATTTGGGGTTTAGGGTTTAGGGCTAATGGGTTACTAAACCTGCGCTCCTCTTGGTGAGAAGCCCTTTCTGCCATGGGGTTCGCTTTTCGCGCCTTCCCCCGGAACACAGGAACCCCCCAAAAGAAGCAAACCAAATAGGGCAAAGACACCACAACAACAAAAAACACAATCACAAACAAACACACACACACACACAGAGACACACACGCACACACACAAGCAAACAAACAAACAAACAAACAAACAAACAAACAAACAAACAAACAAACAAACAAACAAACAAACAAACAAACAAACAAACAAACAAACAAACAAACAAACAAACAAACAAACAAACACACACACTTGCACTTGCACTTGCCTGTCCGCTTGAGTCCTGGTTCTGAGGAGCATACCTTCATGCTCAAGTTAAAAAAGACTCGTGTCGGGATTCAGCACTGTTCGGCTGAAATGTCACTTCACAACTTTCGTTGCGCACACGCTAGGTGTGGAGATGAACACAAAACTTTGTCAAGCAGAAAAGCCGACTCCAGCCTGCTACCCAGAAAAGGATCTGGGGCTGGGCCCCGGGGGTACTCAGTCGAGCTCCCCGTTGAAGGCACTGCTCTCAGGAAGATTCCGGCTTCGCGCCAAGCTGTCGTACAAGCGAGCCCGGCGGCGCTGCACCACTTTTCTTCTCACCTCCCTGTTGGGAAATCAGTTCGGTAAGGAGGGCGACGGCTTCTGTCCACTCAGCCTGCGCCAAAGCCTGCGGACGAAGTTTGAGCAAAACATGTCCGTCACGAGTCTCGCGAGCCATTGCCAGCTGAATGGATTGCTCCATGTCTGGGAGTGAGGTAAGCTTGCCATGAAACGCCTTGAAGCGGGCAAGCCTCTCATGATGCTCCTCATTTTTCAACAGCTCTTGCGCCACTGTCCCAGCGACCGTCCAGCGAGGAGCACCCAGAGGATGAGGGCCCTTGTCTGGAATCCGAGCTTTCCACGCCGCCATGGATGCCAAGAGGGCCTTGGACAAGTCGGTCTCTTTGGGCAGCAAAAAGGTGTGGCAGCTCCAGGCTTCGAGCTCGCGGAGGTCCTTGTCGTGCTGCCCTACGATCTTCACCACTGCTTTGAGCTGCTTGGCCAACTGTGTCACCTGCTCTTCCATGGACCCTTTGCCACCTTGTCCCCCGGAATGCTTCGCGTCTGGACGCTGCTGTTTGAGTGGAGCCGCAACTGTTGGGCTGGGCTCTTGCACGTCTGCCATGAACGACAGCATTGCCATCCACACTGCCGGGAAGGACTGAGGCGCTAGCAGATGACGCGTGACTTGAGCCCACACCTGTCACGCTGGCGTCAACACGAGCTGTTTCAGCTGCCTGGCGGTTAACCATGTCTCGCATCCCTGCTAAAGCTCCTGCACGCCCATGGTTCACCACGTGCTTATTGCACGAAAGTTGAGCAACATGCCTCCTGCACGCTGATGTCTTTGTGAACTGTCTGCCACAAGTGGGGCAAGCCGTGGTCTGAATGCGATGTCGCACACCATGTTTGATGACAACATGCGAAGCGAAAGATTTAGTTGAATGAAAAGGGCCATGGGCACAATGCCCGCAGTATACTCCAGCCAGCCATTGTTGGTCTGTCAACTCCTCGTCAGCGTCTGGCATCACTGAGAACCCTGAGTGAGCGCACTACTTCAGCCGGAGACTCAACAATCTGCAGAGAGGGTTGTCGCGTTGCATCCCTATTGCTCCTAGGGCCGCGCGATGGCTCGCGCGATGTTCTAGTGCACGGCTGCTGCAGAGACTGGGCTAGCGAAGCATCACCAAAGGTACCCCTCATGTCTCGAATGCTGGACTCTGCTGTCTGCAAAAAGTTCTCCTTCCATCCTGCCACAAAGCCTTTCCAACTCGGTAGCAGGGCACGAAGGTCGCAGTCTAGGATTGACAGAAACGCTGGAGCAGCAGGAGTGAGCTGCCCAACTTCGTTGATTGGTGCTGTGGCTTGCCATGGAAAAACCCCGAAAATCGCAGCCAATTCCAATCGAACTTCGCCATCTCGCTCTGCGAGCAGGGAGCTCCTGAGCCATAGCAACCTTCGGGCGCGAAGCTCAGTAGCAACCTCAGCCAATCCACAGACTCGTCTCAGCAAGGAAATCGGAACAGAAACTGCGACCTGCTCAGTGGTAACCTTGCCATATCCTCGCACACCGAAGATGCGCCGCAGAAGAAGCCCTCTAGCAGCTTCCAACTTGTCAAGGTCGCTCTGGCTCAATACTCTCACTTCGAGTGCTGAAAGGAGCGCCTCGTTCACGACGGCTCGAAAGACCATGATCTTGCGTTGGTGGGGCACTGTAGATCTCCGGAAGAACTTGGCGAACATTCGCAAATGCAGATCTTGCAGCAGCTATGCGCTTGGAAACCTCAAGTTTGCAAGAGGGCTGCGCTTGCAAGTGCGCCCCTAGATATTTCACAGAGTCTTTCAGGGGAGGTCCCATCCAAGCACCTCCGTACAAGCGTCTAGCCGAAACGTACGCACCTTTGCCGCGCACACTCACAAGAGACTCGCACTTCTTCATGTTCAGTTGGAGTCTGTGCGGCTGTAAAGACTGCTTCAACTGCTGAGTTTTGTCGAGTGTTGTAGCTTCAACCTCCGCTGCTGTTTGAGCCGCTTCGACACGGATCAAATCATCTGCGTACGAGGCCGTCGAGATGTCCAAGGTGCGTCCACTGTAACGAACGCAAGTGTAACTGTCCAAAGGTGGCACATCCCTCCAGTCACCCACAACCTTGTCGTACACTCTCCTGAAAAGCCGTGGTCCAGTGCCTCCACCCTGCAAAACTCCATCTTTGAGCAAAACACAAAAACTCCCACCAGTCGCCAAAGGCATGCGGATGCGAAGTCGTCCCTGCATGTCTTCAAGCATTGCCAGAGAACATTCATGGAACGGCTGATTGTTCCGAAGGTCGCGCACCACGCTGTGGGAGCTAATCATGTCGAATGCTTTGGTCAAATCGTAGAGATTCGCTGCAGTGCAGAGGCGGCCCTTGTAGAGCCGTTCAAGAAGCGTGGTGATTTGAAGGATGGCGTCACGGCGAGAGCATCTTCTTGCGTAGCCATACTGATGCTCTGCTCTCTGGTCAGCGTGGGCATCCAAGGTGGCTTTGAAGAACGCCTTCCCCATGGGATCGAGCAGGTTGATCACACGCATCCCAGCTGGCGTGGGTTCACCACCCGGTTTTGGGACGGCGCAACCATGGCCAACGCACCATTCAGCAGGATTCTGACCCATTTCTTGCAAACGCTCAAGTTGAGGCATAAGCAAGTGTCCTGGAGGCAACATAGCTCGATCAGGAGGCTGCAAAATGATGCTCCAGAGCTCGATGGGTAAGGCGCCGCTGGGCGTGGCTCTGTCGCGCGGCATCTTGCGCGCTGCGTCTGCAAGTTTTCGGCAGCCTTCCTCGCCTCGGAAAAGCGGACTGAAGAGCTGAGGTTGATCAGGGGTTCGAGCAGTGGCTTCAATACATTCCGTTGCATTCTGAACTGCTCGAAAGTGCTGAACCCAGGATGTCTTGGGGATAGGCTTGGCAGAGGGCGGCGCGCGGGCTCCAAGCTTCTTGAAATGCCGGCCCGCAAGCTGACGGCACAGGCTCCATGCTTCACGACTGTTGTTCTTATCAACAGCAGACTGCAGTTTGTCCTCCAACACGCGCTCCCAGGCCTTCACATCATCCCGCACAGCTTTTTGAGTTTGCGCCATGAGCCTTTGAAGCTGCCACGCCCTGAAGCTTACACGCAAGAGCCAGAAACGACGCTGCTGACTACACGCGGCCGCAAGCTGCTGCTTCTCCTCCAGGTACATGTACATGACTTCGCGGCGTCGCTGGAGCTGCACAAAAGTCTGCGGGAGGATCTTTGGGTTGCGTTGGTCCGGCTGCATGCAGAAATGCTTCACAGCAACACCGTGCAGGGAGGCACTGATCCCGCTCCATCCTTCCTGAGCACTCTGTCCAGAATCTGTGAGAGAATGTTGCAGCAGCGCCTCCGAAACGTCCTGAAGAAAGGGCATGTAGAGCGTTGGATCCGTAGCAGCACGGAGGATGGCGTGCCTGTTCCACTGAAGCACGGCATGTTTCGGACGCGGTTTAGCCCAGGCGGCCTGCAGACCTACCGCTAGCTCCAGCGGCCAGTGGTCAGCAATTGGTGTTGTTTGCCATCTGCGCCCTAGCAGCTTGCTGACCCTGCAGCGTTTCACTTTGCGTTGAAAAGCCCGTCGCATTGCGATGTAGTCAATTCTGTGTTCAGTCAGTTGATCAGCCGACCACCATGTACTTCCCGCTGCGTGGAAAGTGTTCACCAGGCAGAGCCCAAGACTGTCGCACATGTGCCCCAAGAGCAGCCCGTTGTCATTCGTGGGCTCAGCATCCTGGCGTCCGACACTGCGGTGCTGCGAATCGGGCCCCACATGCGCGTTGAAATCTCCCATCATCCACACTGCTGTGCGCCGAGGCAGGGTTTGCACCAAAGTCTGAAGCTCTGTGAAGAAGGCCTGTTTGTCTTCATCGCTCGCTGTTTCCTGCGGGGCATAAGCAGTGATGAAGGTGTGATCCTGTGGGCCCTCAGCTCTACGATCCACATATCGAACACCGCCAATCCTGCCAGCACAACACTTCACTGGATCATAGCGCTCGGTGAACTTCTGCTTGTCAAATCTCTCCACCTGAAGCAAAAGCAGAACGCCACCATGCGTATCACTCCCGGCTTTACTCCAAGAGAAGCAGAAGTAGATTGGCCGGCCCTCTCTGCTGTAAACTGTCCATTCTGAACGTGGCGTGGCGTGTTTCCAGCAGGCACCCTGCAGCGCAGCAGCCTGCACCCCTCTCGAGTGCAAGTCTTCAGCAATCTCAACAAGCCTTGCCGATGAGTGCCCGAGGGTCCGACAGTTATATGTCACAAGCTGGAGAACACCTCCTCTGACTGTGTGTGCAGTCTCCTCTTTTGCAATGGTGGCCGGAAGATGAACTTGATGATCAT